TTCCCAGTAGTCGACTCACATTCGTCGGGTAGCACCGAGAATGCATTGGATGTTTCCACAACAGTTTCCACAGCAGTCTCTTTCTTCTTCGTCATCTCTACCTTTCCATTCGTCTTCTTGATCGTCAACTTTGTCTCATGCTGTCCAGCCACTGTCCACGTTCCCTTCTTGACCAGAGGACTCGAAACAGGAGGACCACTACGAATCCTCTTGTTTTCCTCAGTCAATCGCCGTATCTCCATCTTCGCTACCCTCAATTCTTCCTTAAGCTGCTGGTAAAGTTGCTCTATTGAGGGCATCTTGGTTCAGTCCACCGGGAGCACACAAGACACTTCTTCACAGAGTTAAGTACAGGTCAGTGTGATGTTAAATAAGTGTGATGTTAAATAAGAACATAAGAACTTAAGAAAGTAGGAACACTGCAACAGGCCTGCTGGCCCATACTAGGCAAGTCCTTCACAAATCCAACCCACTAACAGAACAAATGCTACCCAAGCAATAAGCTCAGGTGCAAGTCCGACTCAAATCCAACCCCTCTCACTCATGTACGTTTTATCCAGCCTAAATTTGAAACTACCCAAGCCATAGCTTTTAGAACATAAGAAAGGAGGAACACTGCAATAGGCCTGTTGGCCCATACTAGGCTGGTCCTTCACAAATCCAACCCACTAACAGCATAACTGCTATACCCAAGCAATAAGCTTTGATAAACCTATTTACTCATGTGCAAGACCGATTCAAAGCCAACCCCTCTCAGTAATGTCTTTATCCAACCTAAATTTAAAACTACCCAATGTTTTAGCTTTGATCACCCTACTAGGCAGACCGTTCCACTCAACAACTACCCCTATTACCAATGTTCATTTATACATTTTATTAGTTCTCTACATTTATTTGGCATTCTTTTCTGCATGCAAATCTATATTTAAGCTAGGTAAGTGGCCCCTGAAGTGACCTAGAGTCATAAGAACATAAGAAAGGAGGAACACTGCAACAGGCCTGTTGGCCCATACTAGGCAGGTCCTTCACAATTCATCCCACTAACAAAACATTTGCCCAACCCAATTTTCAATGCTACCCAAAAAATTGTCAGTATTATATACCATTCTTGCACAACCAAGAAATAAGCCCTGATATGCAAGTCCTACTTAAATCCAACCCCTCTCACTCATGCATTTATCCAACCTATCCTCCTTATGGAGGGGGATTCCCCTTCCAAACAATAACCTCTCTTCCCTCTCTCCTCCTCCCTGTCTTCCATTCATCAACAACAGCCTTCAATAAAGGCAACTGTCATGTTAAATGTTCATTCTTTTGTGCATGTAAATCTATCTTTAAGATAAAAAAAAAATTGTTTATAATTCTGGGTGTCAGGAACGGATTAACCCCTTCAGGGTCCAAGGCCAAAATCTGAAGTGGTGCTCCAGTGTCCAAGAAATTTTGAAAAAAAAAAAAAAAATGATTTTTCTTACAGAATTAAAGAGCATATTTTTGTGAAGGTAATAAGACAAAAAAAAAAAATTCTGATCAGTACTTACCGAGATACAGTGCCAAGAAGTTTGTCGAAAATGATGTGGTGGCGGCAACATCGACGAATTCCACATACGCGCATTACATTATTTTGCGTTTTTTGTTGTTTTTTCTTTTCTTTTCCAATTTTTTTCTATTCCTACTAACATTTGGGGCCTGAGAGACCAATACTGTATATAATGTATATATATAAACTCACTGTATTGAACACAATAACCGCACTAAAGTTATTATCATATTTTTGTTTACCACTGTTGTTTATTACAATAAACATGCACAAATATTGTATAATACTAATGTTCTATCATATATTTACATATTTACAATCACTGGACATGGTTTTAGAACTGCTGGAGCTTGTGGAACTCCTTGAAACAAGGCACCATGCACAGAGGCACCTTACATTCCTCACACATAAACCGAGTGTCTTTGTGTCTTTGTTGCCGTCGTTTTGTTTGTGCACAGACGATGCATCTCTTCTGAGCAAATTTCTTCTGAGTTGAAGGAAGTTGTATTATGAAATGATCACCTTCCCTCCTCAAATGCTTGGGTATATCCTGAGGAATTCGAGGACCGTGTTGTATAGCAGGTGTTCTTACCTGGTACTTCATTATGAGTTGTCTGACAACAGATAAACAAAATTCACCATACGGTGGTCTGTTGCCAGTCTTTATTTGGTACATATTATATGCATTGAGCATTGAAATGTCCATGAGATGGAAGAAAAGTTTCATGTACCACTTGTAACTCTTACGAACAGTCAACAAAACCAATCTGCATGTCACATTTGTCAAACAAGCACATGTTTTGTGTATAATGAATCACTGTCACTGGTTTTCGAATACGTTCATTAGTCACTCGATCAACTTTGCCACTGTCTTGAATTTCATTACGGTGAATGGTTGTCAACAATGTGACATCTCGTTTGTCATGCCACCGTAATGCCATGATGACATTGGCAGTAAACACCTGCATGTCATCACCATGAGCACCTGCGTTGAGCCTGGGCATATGTTTACGATTAGAACGCACTGTGCCACACACATCTGTCTTGTTCACTCACATGAAATCACCGAGTAAGGGGCTTGTGTACCAGTTATCAGTAAATAACATATGCCCCTTACTAAGATATGGTTCCATCATTGTTCGAACCACATCACCAGAGATACCCAATAACTTCATGGTATCTCTCAAAGTATTACTGCCAGTGTACACAATGATATCCAAAACTAGACCACTTTTGCAATCACACAGTACAAATAACTTTATACCATAGTGTTTCCTCTTGCTTGGTATATATTGCTTGAATGAGTCTTCCTTTGAATAAAATCAAGGACTCGTCAATAACAAGCTTCCTGAAGGGATAAAAATACATGCAGCACTTTTGTTTCGTGTACATAAACACATTTCTGATCTTATATAACCTGTTGGTTCTGTCAGGCCTGGTTTTGTCTGAAAAGTGTAACATGCGTAACAGTATCAGGAAACGATTGACACCTATAATGTCACTAAAACCTGGAGTTGAAATTAGGCGTTATGTTGCCCAGTATGTGGTGACAGTGTGCTTATACACATGTTGCATAAGCATTATTGTGGCAAAAAAAAGGTACATCTCTGCCACAGTTGTCTCCTTCCACTGGTGTAGCTGTGATCTTGGTGAGAGAATTGTATTTGCCATGGTGTATTCATAGTATGTGTTGGTTTCCCTGACAGTGATGCCCATCAGTGGTTCATCGAAGAATAACTTGAAGCATTCCAGTTCACTAGCATTGTTCCCAAGTGGATATGATGGCTTTATTCCACTTTGTGTCTCGTCAAAGTCTTGGGGACTGGGAACAAACTCGTCACTTTCCTGCCAATCCCAGATGCGGTCTGCTGGTGGGTTCTGGATATTGTAACGTGGTTGTGGTTGTGCAGGTTGTGATTGTGCAGGTTGTGGTTGTGCAGGTTGTGGTTGTGCAGGTTGTGGTTGTGTAGGGTGTGGGAGTGTGGGGTCGGGTGAGGCTGGTTGTTGTGCAGAGTCAGCAGCGTGGGTAGTAGCGTGGCCCGCTGCTGGTGCCACATGGGTTGTGCCACCATCACTATCGCCACCACTGCCTGCTCCCTCACTCGCATCATTCATACCCATCATTACAATATCGTCATCTTCACCATCAGGTCGTGGTGTAGGGCCACAGGATGCGCTCCCAGAGTTTCTCCTTCCTCTTGGAACAGCATATGAAACACTACCAGACCGCATGCTACGTCGTACATACTGCCGCTTCACTGGGGAATATTCACCCTCACTGTCACAACTAGAACTGCTTTCAATGATCTTGAAATCACTGTCACTATCGCATTCACTGCTAACATCTGGGTGTTGTACACGACCAAATAGTTTTCTCTTTCGTCCTGGTACAGGTGAACGTGAATGTGAACAATCCGGCCCAGCACCAGAGGTGGAAGGTTGTGGGTCATCAGGGTTTTCATCACTAGTTACGTTATCCTGGGTACTTTTTTCGGCCACACTCGCTTCAAAACCCTGGAATTCACTGTCACAGACATTTTCATCGCTGTTAGAGCTATCACTTGGGAACAAAAGACCTCCAATCCACCGAGGAGTGAGGTACTTCTTACTGCGAGGCATGGTGAAAATGGACTACCAAGATGGCGTTCCCACAATGCACCGCTGAGTCTCGGATTTTTTTCACAGGGTGCACACCCACCACTGAGACCCATTCTTTCTCATGTAGGCCTACCAGGCCTTTCCCGCTTGATTTGAAGCCGCTAGAATTTATGCGTATAAACATATCAGAAACAGTGGCACGTAAGACGTATTTATACGGTGTAAACAGTCAAAGGGTTAATAGAACATTGATTGAAGATTGAGACACTTATGCAGCATATGTCACAACTGTCAGACACTGCATCATCATGAGATCATGGTACAAAGAATTCTTCAAACTTGTCCAACCTTTGGACGAAGACCTACTTCGACTAGTGGATGGTATCACTATGACCCCGCCTCCTCCTGCTTCACCTCGCCTGACTGCACCATATAAGCAGTGTCTACGGCCCTATGCTGTACATTCTACTAGATTGATGGACTGAACACATCGACTCCAGGCTGAGGGAATGATTACCTCAAACTCCTCCTCTCCTTACACCTTTCTGCTTTGTATTGGACTAATGAAGCCACTGTTTGGCGAAACATTTCCTTAATAAAGAACAGTGATTGTTGGGGCTTACGAGAGTACAGTATTAGTAATGCCAGGTGTTTACCATGTTAATGTATATAAATGGAAAGTTTGTCTGAGTTTGAAATCTTGTGAATTCAAACTGTTTGTCTGCCAGTGCTGTTTTGAAGGTATTGCAGCATCTGGCAAGCTTGTATTGCATATTTTTAAGGAAACATTAATTCTATAAAATAATCTCATTAAACTTCTGTGATCAGTACATTGTAGGTTCTGTTTTTCTTGGATTTTTTTCAGGGTGAAAGCAAAGGATCTAATTGACTTCATACAAGATGATAACAGGCTGCGGGAAGAACGTAAGAAGGCTAAGAAAAATAAGGACAAATATGTTGGTGTTTCTTCAGACTCCATGGGATTTCGCAGCTCTAGTCAGAGTAGGTAGAAATTGTCAGTAATGAAAGATTGGGTATCAGATGGAAGGGAGGGAGGAGGGCTAAGGAGGGAGGAGGAGGGAGGAGGAGGGAGGAGGGAGGAGGGGGGGAGGAGGGGAGGAGGAGGGGGAGGAGGAGGGAGGAGGAGGTGGAGGAGGAGGGAGGAGGAGGAGGAGGAGGAGGAGGGAGGAGGAGGGGGAGGAGGAGGGAGGAGGGAGGAGGAGGAGGAGGGAGGAGGAGGGGAGGAGGGAGAGGGAGGAGGAGGGAGGAGGAGGAGGGGAGGGAGGAGGAGGGAGGAGGAGGAGGGAGGAGGGGAGGGAGGAGGAGGGAGGAGGAGGAGGAGGAGAGGGAGGAGGAGGAGGAGGAGAGGAGGAGGGAGGGAGGAGGAGGAGAGAGGAGGAGGAGGAGGGGAGGGAGGAGGAGGAGGAGAGGAGGAGGAGAGGAGGAGGAGGAGGAGGGAGGAGGAGGAGAGAGGGGGAGGAGGAGAGAGGAGGAGGAGGAGGGAGGGAGGAGGAGGAGGGAGGGGAGGGAGGAGGGAGGAAGGAGGAGGAGGAGGAGAGGGAGGAGGAGGAGGAGGAGGAGGGAGGGGAGGGGAGGAGGAGGAGGAGGAGGAGGAGAGGAGGAGGAGGAGGAGGAGGAGGAGGAGGAGGGAGGAGGAGGAGGAGGAGGGGAGGAGGGAGGAGGAGGAGGGAGAGGAGGAGAGAGGAGGAGGAGGAGGGAGGAGGAGGAGGAGGGAGAGGAGGGAGGAGGAGGGAGGAGGAGGAGGAGGGAGGAGGAGGAGGAGGAGGGAGGAGGAGGAGGAGGGAGGAGGAGGAGGAGGAGGAGGAGGAGGGGGAGGAGGAGGGAGGAGGGAGGAGGGAGGAGGAGGAGGAAGAGGAAGGAGGAGGAGGAAGAGGAAGGAGGAGGGAGGGAGGAGGAGGAGGAGGGAGAAGGAAGGAAGGAAGGAAGGAAGGAAGGATGGAGGAGGAGGAGGAGGAAGTGAATATGTTCAGATATTTGGGAGTAGACTTGTCAGCAGATGGGTCTATGAAAGACAAGGTGAACCATAGAATTGAGGCTGAGGGAGGATCTCACTTGTCATTAGACACATATGTTTCTTGTAGGTTTTATTTGTTTCTAAAAATTATACTGTATAGAGGAGCTCTATAAGAGAGATAACCAGTAGATTTGTCTGGATGTATTAATTATTCTTGTATGTATTATAACTAATTGTGTTTTGAATGTTTAAGCATTGTTATTAATTATAATTATTAGTGTACATGTAATTTGTGGAAAAGACAGAATTTACTTATTTAACAATTATAAATATACGTACTCTACAAACATTTATGAATGTTCAATACTTTTTAAAAGTAATTGCAATAGCCATCATGAGCTAGTTCAGTATTTCATTAAATGTAATTGTTACAGGTGATTGGGATAATTGGGGAAGCAGTCGAAGAAAACAGGATGAATCTGAGTTAGGCTCACGTTTTGAAGATTCACCAAATGTGAGGTATGAATTTTAATTTTTTTAATTAATTGGTACTGGACCAATCCCTAGTAGCATTTAAAAAGGTAATACAGGATAGTAGTTAGGTCTAAAGAATAAATGTAATGTTTTTAATGAAGGTGCTGTTGGAGTGTGAGAAAGGCAACATTTATGAAGGTATTCAGGGTAATTAGAGTACTGGAGGTAAGAAGTACAGTGCCTTCACTCTGAAGGAGTCTTGCTAAATGATTATGGTGGTACCTCAATATTCCCATAAGAAATAATGTAAATTGGATTAATCTGTTCAAGACCCCAAAAAATTAATTATAAAACATTGTAAGTGAAAATATTGCTTATTTTAACCTGTATAATATTTGCATGCATAAAATCATACATGAAAATTACAAAAAACAGTAAATACATGTAATGAAAATTTAACTGCACTTTGCATTTACTGAGGAGTGCTGATGGCCTAAGAGGAAGGTGGAGAGATGTTATTGTTTGAAAAGGGTGTCACCTTCCATAAAAACTGAAGGTAACTGCCTGTCTGGTGTTTTTTCTCTTGGCTGTCTCTGCAGTAGCACTAAACCTTCAACTGTCCAAAAGTAGATCTAAGTTTACTCACGTAGCTCCCCGAACATAGATTTACATTTTATTTTACATTTGAAAGCATGTAAAATGAAACGTAGATCTACATTTGGAACGCTTCTGGTACAAACGCAGATCTACATTTTTTTCTTTGCTAAAGAAACTGTCCAATGTTGTCTGCTTTGGACGACTTTTCAATGTTTTTCTAAAGTAGTCAGCATCATTGTCATTAAACAATTTGATGCTCCTATTTAAAACAGTAAGGTAGGTTGATAGACAGCAACCATCCAGGGAGGTACTACTGTTCTGCCAAGCGAGTGTAAAATGAAAGCCTGTAATTGTTTTACATGATAGTAGGAGTGCTGGTGTCTTTTGTCTGTCTCATAAATATGCAAGATTACAGGTACGTCTTGCTACTTCTACTTACACTTAGGTCACACTACACGTTTATTTATACACTCATCTGAGTTTTCTTTGATTTTATCTTAGTTCTTGTTCTAATTACTTTTCCTTTTATATCCAAGGGGAAGTGGAATAAGAATCTTTCCTCTGTAAGCCATGTGTGTTGTAAAAGTCAACTAAAATGCCGGGAACAGTGGGCTAGTAACCCCTTTTCCTGTAATAATTACTAAAAAGAATAAGAAAAAAAAATGGTCAAAGTGGGAAGTCTGAATGTGTGTGGATGTTGTGCGAATGATAAGAAAGAGAGGATTGTGGATGTTATGAATGAGAAGAAGCTGGATGTCTTGGCTTTAAGTGAAACAAAGCTGAAGGGGGTGGGTGAGTTTCAGTGGAGAGGAATAAATGGGATTAGGTCAGGGGTTTCTAATAGTTAGAGCTAAAGAAGGAATAGCAATAATGTTGAAGGATAAGCTATGGCAGGAAAAGAGGGACTATAAATGTATTAATTCAAGGATTATATGGAGTAAAATAAAGGTTGGATGCGAGAAGTGGGTTATAGTAAGCTTATATGCATCTGGGGAAGAGAGAAGTATAGAGGAGAGAGAGAGATTTTGGGAAATGTTGAGTGAAAGCATGGGGAGTTTTGAACCAAGTGTGAGAGTGCTTGTGGTTGGGTATTTCAATGCTAAAGTGGGTAAAAATGTTGTGGAGGGAGTAGTAGGTAAATTTGGGGTGCCAGGGGTAAATGAAAATGGGGAGCCTTTAATTGAGCTATGTGTAGAAAGAGGTTTGGTAAGAAGCGATACATATTTTATGAAAAGGAGGATAAATAAATATACAAGGTATGATATAGCATGTAATGAAAGTCAGTTTGTTAGATTATGTATTGGTGGATAAAAGGTTGATGGGTAGGCTCCAGGATGTACACGTTTAGAGGGGCAACTGATACATCGGATCGTTATCTAGTTGTAGCTGCACTTAGAGTAAGAGATAGATGGGATGAGAGGAAAATGGCAACAAGAAGTAAGAGGGAGGTGAAAGTGTATAAACTATGGGAGGAGGAAGTTTGGGTGAAATATAAGCATCTTTTGGCTGGTGCAGGTATGAGTAGTGTGGGGGGGGGGTTGAAGAAGGTTGGAATAGTTTTAAAAATGCAGTATTAGAATGTGGGGCAGAAGTTTGTGGTTATAGGAGGGTGGGTGCAGGAGGAAAGAGGAGTGATTGGTGGAATGATGAAGTAAAAGGTGTGATACAAGAGAAAAAAGTAGCTTATGAGAGGTTTTTACAAAGCAGAAGTGTTATAAGAAAAGCAGAGTATATGGAGAGTAAAATAAAGGTGAAGAGAGTGGTGAGAGAGTGCAAAAGGAGAGCAGATGATAGTGGGAGAGGCACTGTCAAGAAATTTTGATGAAAATAAGAAAAAAATTTTGGAGTGAGTTAAACAAGTTAAGAAAGCCTAGGGAACAAATGGATTTGTCACTTAAAAACAGAGTAGGGGAGTTAGTAGATGGGGGAGATGGAGGTTTTGGGTAGATGGCGAGAATATTTTGAACTTTTAAATATCGACAAAGAAAGGGAGGTGGTAATTACATGGACTGGCCAGGGAGGTATACCATCTTTTAGGAGTGAAGAAGAGCAGGACATGAGTGCGGGGGAGGTACGCGAGACATTACATAGAATGAAAGGGGGTAAGGCAGCTGAAACTGATGGGATCATGACAAAAATGTTAAAAGCAGGGGGGGGGACAGTGTTGGAATGGTTGGTATTTTTTGTTTAATGAATGTATGAAAGAGGGGAAGGTACCTAGCGATTGGCGGACAACGTGTATAGTCCCTTTATATAAGGGAAAGGGGACAAAAGAGATTGTAAAAATTATAAAGGAATAAGTTTACTGAGTATACCAGGAAAAGTGTACGGTAGGGTTATTATTGAAAGAATTAGAGGTAAGACAGAATGTAGAATTGCGGATGAGCAAGGAGGTTTTAGAGTGGGTAGGGGATGTGTAGATCAAGTGTTTACATTGAAGCATATATGTGAGCAGTATTTAGATAAAGGTAGGGAAGTTTTTATTGCATTTATGGATTTAGAAAAGGCGTATGATAGTGGATATAGAAGCAATGTGGCAGATGTTGCAAGTACTGTATGGAATAAGTGGTAAGTTACTAAATGCTGTAAAGAGTTTTTATGAGGATAGTGAGGCTCAGGTTAGGGTGTGTAGAAGAGAGGGAGACTATTTCCCGGTAAAAGTAAGTCTTAGATAGAGATGTGTAATGTCACCATGGTGGTTTAATATATTTATAGATGGGGTTGTAAAAGAAGCAAATGCTAGGGTGTTCGGGAGAGGGGTGGGATTAAATTATGGGGAATTAAATACAAAATGGGAAGTGACAGTTACTTTTTGCTGATGATACTGTGCTTATGGGAGATTCTAAAGAAAAGTTGCAAAGGTTAGTGGACGAATTTGGGAATGTGTGTAAAGGTAGAAAGTTGAAAGTGAACATAGAAAAGAGTAAGGTGATGAGAGTATCAAATGATTTAGATAAAGAAAAATTGGATACCAAATTGGGGAGGAGGAGTATGGAAGAAGTGAATGTTTTCAGATATTTGGGAGTTGGCGTGTCAGTGGATGGATTTATGAAGGATGAGGTTAATCATAGAATTGATGAAGAAAAAAAGGCGAGTGGTGCATTGAGGTATATGTGGAGTCAAAAAATGTTTATCTGTGGAGGCAAAGAAGGGAATGTATGAAAGTATAGTAGTACCAACACTCTTACATGGGTGTGAAGCTTGGGTTGTAAATGCTGCAGCGAGGAGGCGGTTGGAGGCAGTGGAGATGTCCTGTCTAAGGGCAATGTGTGGTGTAAATATTATGCAGAAAATTCGGAGTGTGGAAATTAGGAGAAGGTGTGGAGTTAATAAAAGTATTAGTCAGAAGGCTGAAGAGGGTTTGTTGAGGTGGTTTGGTCATTTAGAGAGAATGGATTTTAAGTAGAATGACATAGAGAGCGTATAAATCTGTAGAAGGAAGGCGGGGTAGGGGTCATCCTCAAAAAGGTTGGGGGGAGGGGGTAAAGGAGGTGTTGTGGGCGAGGGGTTTGGACTTCCAGCATGCGTGCGTGAGCGTGTTAGATAGGAGTGAATGGAGACAAATGGTATTTGGGACCTGACAAACTGTTGGAGTGTGAGCAGGGTAATATTTAGTGAAGGGATTCAGGGAAACTGGTTATTTTATATAACCGGACTTGAGTTCTGGAAATGGGAAGTACAATGCCTGCACTCTAAAGGAGGGGTTTGAGATACTGGCAGTTTGGAGGGATATATTGTGTATCTTTATACGTATTTACTTCTAAACTGTTGTATTCTGGGCACCTTTGCAAAAACAGTGATTGTGTGTGAGTGAGGTGAAAGTGTTTAATGATGATGAAAGTATTTTCTTTTCGGGGATTTTCTTTCTTTTTGGGTCACTCTGCCTCGGTGGGAGACGGCTGACTTGTTAAAAAAAAAAAAATGAAAAACAGTAATGTTAGGATCCCATTTTTGCACCAGGCTCTGTGTTTGAACATTACAGGGTCAGAGGACACACTCTCACTTACCTAAAATCTTATCTTAGCAATAGAACCCAGTATGTATTCACAAATGGAGCTAACTCCACTACACAACCAGTTCTTGTTTAAGTCCCACAGGGGAGTATCCCTGGCCCACTTCTTTCTCATTTACTTCAGTGACCTCCCACATACATCTAAACTCCTTAAACCCATTTTATTTTCAGATGACACTACTTATGTCTTCTCTCTACCAAACCCAACCATACTAACAGGCATTGTAAATGCCGAACTACAAAAAATATCTCTTGGATCCCACCAAAGAACTTACCCCCGCTAAAGACACCACAGGGAAAATTTTAAGGCCCCACCTACACTGCAATCCCCCGTGAAAAATGCTATGCATGTAATGCCCAAAGGTCTAGAATTCATTCCCAGAACACACAAAGGGCCCCCTCCTGTAAATCAATTTAAGGCCTTATTTAGAAAATT